TGGTTGTTATGGTATTTATAGATGGGACTAGTGTTATAGGTCTAAATTTTGGTGTTAATAAATAAGGAGTGCAATTAAAAGGTTTAGTAGATACAGACTAGATGTTGACTTTGTCTAACTCCTATGTTAGTTAAAAATCACTGTAACAATCCATAGTTGTACCTTCCACGACAGAGTCATAATAAATTGCTATCACTAAAGCAATTAAATAGGTTTTGTGGCTTAGAGGTCTACTTCTTGAATTTTATGTTTTAAACAATTATGTGGTAGTACATTCAGATAGCCAATCTTCTATACATCTATGCAAAAATCCTATTTTTTTACGAACACTCCAACTACATTGATGTTTGATTACACTTCATTAGAGATATTGTGTCACAAGAAGTGGTAAGACTTGAAAAGTACACATATAATATAACTTCTGGAACACGGACGCTAAGGTGTTACCATTGATGAAGTTTAGAAGATGCAAAGATCTTCTAACCATCGGTGAAGGTAAATAATTTCTAGTTTTATCGGTTCTCCTTTTGGAATTGTCACTAATGGGTTATAACGTTTTCTTACAGGTCCTTTGACGCCAAGGTGGAGGCTTGTTGGGCAAATTGTTGTCAAATGACCTTTTGGGGATGATGTAACTCGGTATAATCTTCTAACCATCAGTGGAGGTAAATAATTTCCAGTTTTATTAGTTCTCCTTTTGGAATTGTCACTAATGGGTTAACGTTTACTTGCAGGTCCTTTGATACCAAGGCGGAGGCTTGTTGTACAAATATTGTCAAATGTCCTTTCGGGGATGATGTAACTGGGTATAATTTTCTCAGTTGGAATCGACCAAATAATTGAACTAAAAGTTGACACCTCAATTAAACTACCTGACTCTAAAACCATTTGGGCCATCAAGGAGCCTAATTTAATTAATGTTGTTTCATGGCCTGTTTCCCGGCTTCTAGGATGCTTATAGGTGACGGCCCACTTAATGATGTATATTGACCCACTTACCTATTACAAGCCCATCACTATACCCTAGTGTGTGAACTATATGCATATATATATGGCCGTCTCCTTTGTGTGACCGTGTGTGTTATTGCCATTCTCTTTTCTCTTAGTGAATTCAGCGCTTGCTTTGTGCTTCTCTTCATTACGCCTTCTTCATCTTCTTCATTGGCCAGTGTCATTGCCTTCGTGGTTGCAATAACCACCTTATTGTGTGTTCTAAGTGGGCAACATTAAGCAACCGAAGTGAGGATTGTTTTGGTTCAATTTTGGGTTTTTTTGAGGTGATTGATTGTTGGATTCAATAAAGAGCCTAGAATATACCATTGGGCATTGGTGATCAAGAGTTCCACTACACCTAGGAAGACTGGCCGCCTCCCCTTCATCAGCCAAAGCATCCCTTGCTAAAAATAGGTATGCTGGTTCACTACCATTGAACATTCCAGAAAAAAACAAAGTTGTTAGAACAGGCCAAATTAGCCCTGTGTTTTCATCTCCAGAAACTATTTGGCACGCAGGGCAGTCAGAGTGGAAGAACCCAAACATTTAAAGCTCAATTATGTCAGAGATAAATCAATAGCTTTGCCTCAAACAGTTTCTCATCAGCTGTCCACACCTTACAAATATCTCCAAATAACTTGGAAATTAATTCTCCATCGTCTTTAGTAGCTAGGGTTGGGATGGCAATGGCGAGGACTCAATTTCCTTCCCGCTCGATGATTGAAACCAATGTTTTTTAATTAAAAAAAAAGCCCCTCGTTAACGACCTGCTCTTGTCTTCTATCCTCAATATATATATATATATATATTAAATCAGAGCCTACTTTCATTCATTTGATATTTAAAAAAAATTAATATTAGAAAACCTAATTTCAAAAACGAAAAACGTCCAATCATTAAAACTAGAATCTTGTGAAAATGTAATTCGATTTATACATTATCGAAATAGCATTAGCTATTAAAAACTTCATTCCAGAATAATTCTGTTACTTTTAAAAACAAAATTAACCTATCACAAATTTCTCTCGCCAGCTTCCAATCTGTTTGCTAATTTCTATGTTGTGGTTCTTTTGCTTCAAACGGGCGAAAAAAATAAAAATAAATAAATAAAATCGACATCCTCAAAGCAGAGTGATCCATTGTGTAGATACCAAGGTTTGCAATGAAACCCTAATTTTTTACCACACAGATCTTTTAGCGGACGTACAGCAAACTCAAATTTTTCATGTCTTTTTGGTATTGACGTCCAGAAAGCAACATCCACCAATTTTCTCATCACAATCATGTTCAATTTATGGGCTGAACAGCGCATGTGGGAAAAAAATCATCATTCACCAAAAGTGATCTACTAGGAAGCTTATCTAAAATCATATTGATCATAGCACCGTTTGGAGTATGACTATCAACAGTAAGAATATATAACTTTGGATCCAATAAGCTATCCATCGAAGTGTTAAAATGATTTAGCTGTATGTAGACAAGGCACAAATATAAACCTACAAACAAAACAAAATAATTGCAACAATGTTAAGTTTTATAGAGAGATATGAAAGTAATCTTTAGTTCTTGAAATGTACTCATATCTCAGCTTTGAAGCTCTATGAATCTTCTAGGAAATGTGTCGTGATACCATTAAACCATTCTTTTGGTTAGAAGTTCACATATACTTTTATTTCTCTCCAACAAACCCATAATTTTCTATATATTCAATTTATCACTTTTGATGGTATTCCGAGGTACTATTCTAAACAGTAGTTGAAATATATTCACGTAATGTTGAAATCCAATATGTTCAACCATTGATAGAGAATATTCATGCAAAATAATCATCTTTCCATGTGCCCTCCTAGTGTTGTCTTGATCAATAGTACCCAATGAAACCTTTCCCTCCCGTTTCTTTCATTAGATTAAACATCGTCGACTTAATATCCTTTTGATTCCTGCAATGAGGACATCTCTCGAAATGATCATGTAAGTGAGATGTCTCGATCTTATTCTCACCTCCTAGTGGTTTATCATAGTAATTACTATTAATATTAAAATTCACATAGGATGAGCAATGAACATGTATCCCCTCTAGCGAATGTTTTCAAAGTTGGTCAAATCATATGCAAGCTTAAGATAACATACACAAGCATTTGCAGTGCAAGGTTTTGCAATCAACTTGAGTACAAATGGTGAGCGAACATACTTTAAACTGGTTTTATTAGCCATTTCACATCAGCAAAAAATCATTATTAAAGCACACAAGTATATAAGAATGTAAAGCATGACTTTACAACCAATGAATGAGGGATATGTACGTTGTGAATAAAATGTGAACAGATAACTCAACCTATTTGTAGTCAACTAATCAACAAGTGCCATGAGTCACCAACAAAAATGACTTATTTACCCCTGACACTTTGTTAGATATCGATAAATAGGCATAGCCCAAAATGGAGAAATGCATGCAAATTTAAGTATCTTCCTTTCAAATAGTCATTTCTCCTGTTACTCTTATTTGAGAATTGAATCAGTAAGTTTAGGATGAAAAAAGACCTAACTTGGTAAGAGAAATTTGTTGGTCATTATTTTATGATCAAGAAATAGGCACCATCTATGGGATTTAGATTAATGAAGGCAATCACGATCTCGTCATTTTGATTTAAAATCAACAAAGAAGTTCATGAAGCAACTATTGTAAGGCGAAAGCACCGAAATTTGAAGTTGACAATCCCTGCAAAAACTGGGAAGATAGTGATGTTAATCCAATGGGACAACGGTTGGAGTCTCTGGTCAAAATATCTACGCTTGTGTTCCCCGCCAAACATCGTCACTAGTGGCGATTTCTGCCACAAAAACTATACAAGTCAAGAGTCTTAGAACATTGATCACTGACACTACGCAATTCATTGTCACAATTACTTATTAGTCATAATCGGAAAAATTTCACAGTCACAAATCACAAATTTCATAAGTCACGACCTATATGTTATCATTCACAAATTACCAAATTAACTATTCACACATTATTTGTCGGTCACAAATCACAAATTTTATAGGTTATGATTTATTTGTCAATTACAAATTGTCAAATTAATAAGTCATGTATTTGCCGATTTCAAATTATCAAATTAATAAGTCAAAACTAAAGAAATTGTGAGTCACGATCACTAATTTTGTCATAATATCACATTTTTAGATCACATATCATTTATTAGTCACAATTTAACTAATTTATTACTCTCAATCATCCAAAATCCCACCCTCATCACCAGCCCCATCGCCACCTCACCATAATCACAATCATCACCACCTGCACAATCGCCGCCGTTACCACCGTCACCACCACCACCACCACCACCACCACCATTTGTGAAACACTAATAACTACTCCCAAAACTTCTGCTAAGCAACAGATAGGATATAAAAACCACCCACAAACAATCATCAACAAACCGCATATAGCCTATCAGCAAAAGCTGGAGTATAGAAAGAGGAGTGGCACAGAATAGGGTAGGGTGGGTAGAAAGAGTAATAAAGAGAGGAGAAATTAGAGAATGTATATAGCCGCCGGGGGGAGTGGGGGAATTATTTACTGTTTTGGAGTGAAATTGGGTGAGGTGGATGGAGTGGGGATGGTATGTAATTAATTTAATTTTATAATGTTATTATTAATATTTAAAAGATGAATTATCATATGATTTTTGAACAGAAAAACCTTTACACTAGATTTTTGAATTAAAAAGTAAAAATTCATGTATGGGTATAACTTCCACATTTTTTTTATGCCATCATTTTTTAGAAAAAAATTGACTATAACTTATTTTTTTCTTGTCATGCACTTATCGAGGTCACATATCATAGTGACCATCAAACTTTTCAAGTATGCCATGAGAAAAAAAAAAGGAACAATACCGTACAGACACTACAACAATTTACACATTTTATAACATTTATACATAGCATTCTTGTTGAGAATGCTATAAATTAAAATAGAACATTACTTAAATATGATATAATAGCATTTTTAAACAGGCTTCCAAATTAAAAAGGCCCAAAATCCCTCCCTCGCATATTTTACCAAAATATACATCCCGGCCGCGCGTTTTCTGCCCTAAGAAATTGAGAAATTCTAATCCTAAATCCTTCCCTGCGTTAATTTCTCCTCATCTCCATCTCTCATTCGCGCGGTCGACCAAGGAATTCGATGAATTTCTTTGCCTCTCTATCTCTCTTTTGGTATTGGAAATTTGTGAATCGTTGCTTAATTTCTCCTCAGCTGTATCTCTTTTTCGATTTGGAGGATTTTGTGAATTTCTCCGCCTTTGCATCTTTCTGTCGGTCTAGGTAATTTTGTTTCACAAAATTCCCCAAATAACAATGAATTCATCCCAAATTTTCATCTCTCGTTGATGATTCTGTTATTTCTCTTTTTCTGCAGATTTTATTTCTTCAATTGTGGAAGGGAAGTGTTGACAGATATACGGTTTGAATCGGGAAATTGGTGGAAATAGCTTCTTCACATACTTGGGAAGGTATTTCTTCTTTTTTTGGTTCTGCAACTCAAGGCAGTAAACTCTGTTTTGGGCTTGACGTGAGATTGTTCTTGCTGCTTCAGGTGTGAAAAAATATTATGTGATTATTTCACATAGTGGAATCATTAGATTGAGGGTTGCGTGATGCATCTATACGTCTGTACCATATTTCTTGTTCACAGTCAGTTGAAACAGATTGTGTTTCTACAATATTTGACTTTAATTTTCAGAATTCTATATTACACTTCTGTAATCATAGAGAAGACATCTTCTTCGCAGAACTCGTGGATGATGTTAGACATGGTCTCCCCAATTCTTTGAGAACATTAAAATAGGCAAAACCATTTTGATTACATTGTATAATCTGCGATTTGAGAATTTCCTTGAACTGCATATTGTTTGCATCATCAGCATGTTACAATGAGATAGATAATTGTCTATATAGTTTGCAATCTGTCAGATCAATTCTAGGTAAGAGTTTATTCTTATTATTGAATATGTGATTTAGGATAAGAATTTTCACGCCCAAAACAATTGGGGCTAGTGGTTATATCACCAAGGAACAAACCTCCATGATTAGAAGAAATTGCAGAAGCACGTGGAAGTCATTAATCCATTGAAATTCTCTGTTTTTTCAAGATTCTGAACTTCATTTCTGCTTTGGTTCAAAGAGTTGACGTTGCCAAGACTTGAAAAAGATGAGCTCATGAGTCCAAAACCCGTACCAAAAATTGCAGAATTGCTTCTGGTTGATCCCATTTGGGCTGCTTTCTGCAGTAAAGCAGTAGCAGGCATAGAAGCTGGTAGATTTGTTTCTGGCTGATTAACAGTAGCAGACTTGAAAGAAGTATGAAGGTTGAAGTTGTATTTCAGTTTAAGATGAAGTTATGATAAAGTGTGAACAGCTATTTTTCTTACAAAATCACTGCAAAAGCATCAATAACCTGATGATCCTATGTACACTCACATAAACACCATGACCTTTGGCATAAAAAATCTTTTCAACTGTCATCTTGATAATAATTTATTTTGCATGACTAGTAAGCAACTATCATCCCCCATAAGTGAAGACAACTTTTTTTGCCTGTATATAAATTTTTCGCCTGCTTAAAAATCTCTTTCTACGAGCTCTTTATAGCATCATCACATCATTTACCAGCTGATGAGAAAGTTGATGTCTTAAAGATAGGGTCCCGAGATTACTTTCATTTTATTTCTTGGAATCTTAAAGAACCCTACTCAAAATTGTTTATATACATTGAGATGTCAAGTTTGTAATTTCGCTAATTATTTTACTTTTATTTGCAGTTAGCTGTCGAATTGCAAGTGGTATAGTGTATTAATATTTTTCTTATACTTTATTTTACAGAAGATGCGAGTCCGCATGCCTCTAACACTAACATAAAAGAGGACGCTCTTTCTAAAGTACTTGGTCCAAAGAATAGTGGACGATTACAAGAGATTGGAGGTGGAGTTTGCTATATAAAATATTCCATATTAACTCAAAGGGAGTCTACTGTAGCTCATTTAAAGGAAGAACAAAATCATCTAAAGTTTCAAGTGGCAGAGATGGAGAAAACAATTAACGACTTACTGAAAAAACATTTCCTTTAAGTGAAATATAACTCATACGCTTTTACTTCACATGATATGGCAACTAGTTTCTAAATTTTTTTATCTTTGTAGTTTCAGGAAAAGCAAAGTGAAGAATTATCTGACATTCAACAACCGTCTCCATCGGTAAGATTTATCATTATTTTTAATTGATAATATATATTTATTTTTAAAGTTGACTATAACTTGATTTCTAAATTTGTGTTGTTGAAGAGTGTAAACACTAATACACTCAACAATAAGTGTAAGCTACTAGATTGGACTGGAAAAGGAGAAGAGGTAGCAGAAGGACGTTGGTCTTCAAATGATCCAAAAATATTGGTTCATCACGTTCCTCTAGGACCTAATGCTGCGAGAGTTTGGGTTGATGTAGCTATGAAACCTGATGCATTCTTGTGGAGGCCTACTTGTGATATAACTTATATTGAAGAATGTGTTGGTACCACAGTTGCATGGCCAATTGACAAAGTTGTCATCGAGTAAATAGCACTGACAAAGGTTAAATTTTCTACGCTGACATCTTCGATCACTGATTTTTTGTTTTTACTTTACGTTATTTTACAATCTAATAAGTTTTATCATTTTGTTAATTTTCAGATTTAAATGCTTTATTGGATTGACGGATGTCTTCTCCTAACTTGTTGCAAGAGTTCAAGGAGTTTCATTATGAGGAAATAGAATAAGATGATTTTATTTTAATTTTGTTTATTGTCTTTTCGAGCATAGATTGCCACTAGTATTTGATATAAAGGCGAAACATAATTAGATTTTATACACTATAGTCAAGAAATGCTATTAAAAATATTACATTATATTCAAATATACTATAAATATTAAAAATTATGATAAAAAAAATGTCATAAAAGATGTAACATGACGGTAAAAAAATGCTATTGAAGCTAAAATTATGATAGAAAAAGTGCTATTGAATTTAAAATGATTGCATGGAAAGAATGCTATAAATACTAAAATCATGACGATAATAAAATGTTATGTAAAATTTTTCTATAACACTTTATAATAGCATTTATAAAACGTTATAATAGAGGTATGACTTTTAATAACACCACCTACGATAGCACTTTGAAAAATGCTATAAAACATGATAGATAGCATTTTTCGCAAGCTTTAGAAAACTTGATACGTTGTAGTGAGATAACGAACGACTAGTGAAGGCTAACAGGTTTTCGGCTAAATTGATATAAACGTTAGGAGTTGCTAGTTACATTGTATTTGTAGTGGAGCGAGTGTTGCCTTGTTTCCAATTTGATATTCAATGAATTGTGAGGCTACTGATAATGCGTTTGAGCTAGTATGGTTTGAAGTATTCTAAGATCAGCTATGCTGTGTAATGTTATTGCATGTGTACTTTCATTTGAATTGAACTTTGAAATAGGAGTTTCAATTGATTTTTCTAGTATAACGGCCAGGTTGCTGTTTGGTTGTGCGAATTCATTTCTAATCTAAAACTAAAAACCAAATTAGTCGATTTGGATGAGTTCCAATCCGAATCAACCAATTCTAGCTCTTAAGCCAAACCGAACTGATTAGTTGGTTTGGGCTTTAGTCCAAATTGAGATTTTTTTTATTCGAGTTTTGAGCTTACTTAGATTATAAGAACTAAAATAACAAAAAAAAAATTTATATTACAAGAACCATTGACTAACAAATAAAATTAGGTTTATAGAAACACATCAATAGAAAACTCAAGAATTTTGTTATTTTTTTATGTACTATATAGTCTGACAATTGAGAAGAGAAAAAAAATTATAAGTATAATATAATTAGCGTGTGAAAGGAAATTTTAAGTACTATTCCTTACGGACAATATCATAGATTGGAGGGAATCGAGAAATGCAATTAGAATTTATCTTTTATTTTTTATTTTTTATTTTTCTTAAATTTAAAAAAAAGGTAAATATGTAAGCGAGTCATATTGGTTCGATTAACCAATTGCTTGAGTCTTCTAATCACGACGAACCAACCCACTATGTTTTTGTTTAAAAGATAACCAAGCCAATTAAATGTGTCAAACCGAAAATAAACGGACTTGGGTCGGTTCGATTTGATTGGTTTGATCAATTCTCTCTCTCTCTCTCTCTCTCGCCTAGGCCTATAGTATGTGTGCTTTTCTTTTTCTTATTTTCATTGTGAGTAAAGAATTAGATTTAAAAATTGTCATTCTCTTAAGTATCGCATTACGATACCCTTTCAAATATTATATATACAACAAATGTCTTATTATTTTTCAAAATATTCAGTAGTCAGAATTCATGGGTTATAAGTAATGACATAGTGTACTTCAATAATAAAGGCACCTTCTAATAAAAATTTGAATTTTATATTTAATTCTTACAGTATGAGTTGATCTAATGAGATTAGATGCTGACAAGGAACTTTTTCCATCGGATACGGCACTTTACTCATGAGCTGTATTGGACATTCGTAGCATAGTTCTCACGCTTTGCCTCATGTATACTTATCTAGTGCTTGAGAAATCATATGCTACTTTGGGCTGCCATATACGTTGTTCAGTTCAACAAAATTAGGAACTTTACAATAATGCTGAGCAAGTGTTGAGACAAAAGGAAAATAAATAAATAAATAAAAATCAATGAACTCACGTTATAAGAGATGCTCTACGTCAAAGGAGATCTAGTTTAAAAGATTAAACTCTGATACTCGTAACAAAGTGGGTTATATACTCAAACAAGTACAAATCTATATGCCAACCTAAAATGTCCTTTCTAGATCTTCGTAACTTTCTTACCAAATAGGAAATCGACACTCCACCTAGGAAATATGGAAATATTCCCAAAAGATTTTGAAAATCAGTCATTCCAACAATTGAAAATATGGCCAAAACACACTAAATAATACCGAATTA